TTAACTCGTGTTACTGTGGCCACACAGCGCCATGCACGGTTCTGTATCCACAGTGTTGTGTTCAGGCGCGTGTATACATCTCTTCGTCTGTTGAATGATTGGATGAATGAATGAAGGAACGAATGAAAGGGGTTTACGTTGTGGCGTCTCGCCCTGCCACTGGTTCGGGTCGGTTCGGGTGGTGGTATCTTTTCTCGAACACACACACACACACACACACACACACACACACACACACACACACACACACACACACAATGAATGTATGAATGAAATGAGAACCGAGGACGGTAACCAGGCGTGTAGGGTTCCTGCCACTTCCTGGCCCATGTACAGAATCAAAACCAACACAGTAGTTACAGAGTTCCATAAAGTTTCGTAAGTTCCTTCAACTACCGCGATTCTGGATGCCTGCCTGAGAGTTTCCGGGCCGACCCCGCAAATGGTCGAAATTGCTCGATAGAAGGGTTGAAATTGGCACGGGGTCTACACCTGGGACAAGTTAAGTTGCTGGGACAGGCCCTTGAATTGGCCTGACAGGGACACGAATTGGCCTGGCAGGGACATTCCGACAGTCAGGATTAGCCTGTCGGGGTGTCAAATTGGCCTGACAGGGACATTCGGACAGTCAGGATTGGCCTGCAATTGAAGCCGCCAATGTTGGCCCCGCATGGAGAGGTTTGGAATTGTATGGTAATACAGTGTGGTTTCGAATATTGTTATGTGTAATTCTGGGCCTAGGTCCATTGCGCTGTGAGGCCTCGACTGTCTATCCCATTTGCTAGTCCCTATCGTATAGTGGTTAGTAATTCACGATGTGGCCGTGAAGACCCCGGCTCGAATCCGGGTAGGGACATCCAGGAGCTCCGGGCACGGAGGATTGCAGCCAGATCATCGCACATGCACACGCATGCATGATATGCACAGCTTATTAACGCATCTCAGCCTATGCTCGATGGACAGTTTGGTGTTTGTGTGCTGTCTGTAGCCTGCCTGGACAGGTGAGTGTTTTGTTTCATGAGAGTGTCTTAATAAGCTCAATCGTGACAAATGTCCTACGTTAAGGCCTCCAACAAGCTTGGGCTGCATGCAAGACCATCACATCCAATTTAAACATTTTCGTTGTGGTTGGATGCTGCGTAATGTGGCCATCAACCTTTTCCCGACCTGGCCCCATCCCACACAGTAGTATTGAACGGCCGGCTGATTATGGCATATGCATTACTTGATGCTCCTTTTGTGGGATCTGCATGCATAGGTCCTGGTGTCCATGTTGGGAATGGGTGGACAATAAGGGGGATTCCATAGGTGAGTGGGGTGAATAATAGGGGGCTTCCCTGGGTTGATCAGCAGCTGGACATGTCTCCAACAAGTGATGCTGATGTGTCTTTTCAGCATTAGGTGGGCCCCAGCCTGGTAGCGTGTCATTCGTCGTTTTGTCTCAGATAGACTGTCCACACAGGTGCGGAGGAGTCTGCCTAAGCCTGGGGACGCGTGGACTCTTCCTATATTTTTTCTGTGCCAGGAGCGACTTTCGTTGTCATCCTCCCATCCCCCCCTTGGAGCACAAGTCGCGAGAGCACCGCATGCCTGAGTCATCTCTGTGGAAGATGACCACAATGCCTGGATATGTGTATGCCTCACCTGTGCACGTCCAAAATGTGCGAGATATGCACTATCTCTCAGAATTGCTTCGCACACCAGGTATTTCCTTCGAGCCTACCAGGGATCGAACCTGGAATCTCCGGTTCCGTAGACCGGCGCTTTATCCATTAAGCCATAGGCCCTCCACTTCGCAGGAGTACCACTAAGGCAAAGTTACACAACAGGATGATTGAAGCATGTGTCCTGACACAACATGTTCGCATTGTAGCGGTATTGTAGCGGTATTGTAGTGGTATTGTAGTAGTATTGTAGTAGTATTGCCGTAGTATCGAAGTAGTATTGCCGTAGTATCGAAGTAGTATCGTAATAGTATCGTAGTAATATTGTAGTAGTATTGTAGTAGTATTGTAGTAGTATTGTAGTAGTATTGTAGTAGTATTGTAGTAGTATTGTAGTAGTATTGTAGTAGTATTGTAGTAGTATTGTAGTAGTATTGTAGTAGTATAAGAGTATGAGTAGTATTAGAATTAGAATTATTATTAGAAGCAGTAGTTGTAGTATAGGATCATTATTATTATTATTATTATTATTATTATTAGTAGTAGTAGTAGTAGTAGAGGTTGCATTTCTTGTTGTAATAGCAGTATAGAAGTAGTAGTATGTAATAGTACATTCATAGGGCAAAACTAAAGCCACTGCTTGTTGTGCGCTTAAGTGGAAAAGTAGCCCAAGCGAGCTGTCCCATCCCATTCCTTGCTATCACCTCCCGCAAGTTCGTGTGTAACCACTAGGGTACATAGGGCTTATTGGAGTACGCTTTTCGTTAGCTAGGAGCTCCTTTCATCAGCACCGTTTTACTCATCCTTTAAGCTATGTTTTGTACGGCTGCATATAACGCAAGTTGTACTTCATGTGTACGGCAATGAGGGCCTATGGCTTAATGGATAAAGCGCCGGTCTACGGATCCGGATATTCCAGGTTCGATCCCTGGTAGGCTCGGAAGTATCGCAGATACGGCTGTGCAGTCGCTCGAACGTGCAAATCATGCAGAAGCGCACCCTTGGGAAAAGGTTTAAGATGTTATCTGCGGAATTGAAATGTTAATGTATGGTGTTATGGTACAGCGGACAGGATGGTCAATCTCATCAGGATGATCATCATCCACATGTATAACTTCGTGTATCGCAAAGACTGAAGATGTAGCGTCGCATGCGCTCTCATCCGAATACCGGGGTTACAGGACTAAATAATTGCCACCATTCATTTAAAGCGAAGCATGCATGTAAGCTGCAACACAGCAATCAGCTGTACAACACGAAACGTAGAAGCTGTAAAACTGAAAACGAGCGCGTCGACTCACCCACTCGCCCAATCGGGCGTACAAATGCAGATGCACAAAGCAGGAAACACCATTCAAACGTACAAAACCAAGTATGACGCACAGGTAAACGAGGAAGAAACAACAAGCACAGGAGGCGGTGCGTCAAGTCACCGAATCGGCCGCACAGAGGTAGACGTTCAAAATACGACGCTGCATTTCAACGTACGGAAGGAATTATAACGTGCAGGCCAACGCAAGGCAATGCAATGATTAACGGCGTACGGTCGAACGAACAGATCGTCGTTTTCAACGTCAACGTATAAAAAGAGGCGCAGAAGCTCCAAATCTCACAACGAAAGTAAAGGATAGCAAAGAATCAAGAGTACACCGCGATTCTATTGTAACGCAACCGCAATCGTACAAAACGAGCCACGGCAACTACAAAGCTAGGCACCGGCAGCAAGCCCCGTGGCAGTAAGTCAAACAGAAACCAAGAAAGCAGCGCTCAAAGAGCAATACCCAAACCAAACGGCGCCAACTGTGCGTCCACATGCATGTAAAAAAAAACAGCGTCGAAATGCAAGTCCAGACATGCATAATTCACACTGTCCGCACAGCTTGCAAATATCAAGGTCGGTCCCGCGTAGGCACCACATGCATTGCAGCTATTGCTGAAAGGCGGTTACGAAAGTGGTGCGCCCGATGGTGGTAGTAGTAGCTGCGCCGACGATGCTGAACGGACAATAGGCGGAGGGGGTGCTGGGATCATACGCGAGCTCAATCTCCCCAACTCGTATGTCATTTAGGTCGTTACAAGCTAAATACGTGCTGATCTTTCGGTACGGCCCGCTGGCGAATGGCTCCCCAAACGGCAACACAAGGAGTGCGCTGCCGTCAGTAGGATAGCTGATCTCATTTACAGGCGGTTTCACATACGGATTAAGGGCTGGCAAACGCAGGCGGGCCGTAAGGATACTCCATACACGCCTGGCCTGACTGGATTTAACCTCGCTCCTGGCAGTGGTTTTGAAAGTATTCACCAAAACCCCCGCGAAGCGATTGACGAGACTAGCCGGTAAAATGGCTGACTGGACGTGCGTAACATCGACTACGACTCCATAGCACTTGTTTGTCTGAATGCTAGCCAGTACGGCACTGTCAATCTGAAGGAGCACAATCCCGTTCGTCGCCGGGCCACCCACGATGGTCGCAGTATTGCACCGCAGGCCGCTCCACAGACGGTCGGTGCCGACTTGCGCGGGCCCGGCCGTAAAGGTAAGCTGAAAGCTTACCGAGGTGCTGGCGGGGCTGTACGTCGGATGGGTGATGAAATGATATCACAGTGAGCATCTAGCCGATATGGGTAAAGTACAGGTTTAATACCGCGTCGCACGTTTGTTTGGAGCGCGGGTGTCGAAGCAGAAAGATTACTGTAGGTTTTCTGAGAGTAACGAAAGAAAACCAAGGTTTTCTGTGTATTTGCCGAGAGCGTACTCGGCGGTTCGTTGGTGGTACGGCGGGGCCGTACTGGTGAGAAAGTAGGGCAAGTCGTGGAGAGCGCGACGGAAAGTGCAATTTCGCGAGTTAATATAGTCAGTACTGACAGGTTTCCACTGCGTCGTCTGCCCATTACACCGCCCCGCGGCAGATAGCGCAGTCGGTAACCAGGCTCGCCTCCTCCCACGGAAGCAAGCACACTCTTCTGCTCGCAGGTACCCAAGCTCGACTCACGTCTATAAGCGGTAAGGCAACTACTCATGAAAACTTTACGTTCGAGTATAATGCGCATCTATGTGGGCACGGCTAAGCGGCTGAGCGGAATATCGCGTGCTGGATGCGTCGAAAACGCAACGAAACGCGGGCACGCGCACAAACCGCAAGTATCGGCAGTCAACTGTATAAGTTGAACCGGCAGCATCAAAGGTATGCAACTCAAAACGTATAAGACATTCTAGGCCGACCAATCCGGCCAATCCGGCGAGAGCACGGACCAATCTGGCCACGTAGCTAATACAACAGAGCAAGGTCCAAGGAATAGCTGGACTGCTTATGTACTTCTTTTAGTCACTATAGCAGAGCAAGGTCCAAGTAATAGCTGGACTGCTCATGTAAAGAAGGCGGTCGATTATATTGACGGGCTGAGCAGTCTGAACTTCGCAGAGAGAATATAGTGAAAGTACTGGCGCTGAACGGTATACGTCGAACGACCAGCAGTATTCTAACACTAGTTAAAACGTCCAACAATTGTAAGACAACTCCGAGGGAGTGCACAGCATGTAACGCACAATAAAATCGTCCGCGTCCTCCACGTATGTAGCCGACAACGAACAAGACTAAATCGTAGATTGCATATGCAAGGCACAGTCGCAACCGCAAGCGCAAACGCAAGACGAAACACAGCTAGTGGGGCGCTTGGTTACAACGTCCGAGCCATACCTCGAAGCGGGAGCGCTGCACGAAGCAGGGCTAGTCGGTGTTGCGGTCGATGCCGAGCTCGCGGTGGTTTCAGGCGTGCTCCCTGGCGTGGTTGTTTCCTGGTGCGGCTGTTTCGCCGGCGGCGGAGACGACGGATCTATAGTGGCACAACGCCTGCGGTATGACGGGCGGAGCGAATAGCGAATAATAAAGGTTGCCATAATAAACAGCGGACGCAGCGATGGACGACTCACTTGGGTCCCATGTTGCTGAGAGGAGCGTACAAGGTCCAGTAGGCAGAAATCGTGGTTGCTATATGACATGCGAGGATATAGATATATATTCCAGGCAGGCCCGGATTTCATACATTCTATAGCGAACGTTCGTATGCGCAACCTTGACGTGATGCAGCTTTGTTCTCATAAGTCGGTTTTCATTCGCCAGACGTCACCGGCCTTGGGCTAATCTTGGCGAAATGCATTCGTTTGTACCACGACGGCTACGACTCCCACGAAGACGCGCAGTTGAGAACGGAAAAAGCGAAGCTCATAAAGCTTATACCTTGTTAGGCCGCAAAGCCGGACCGCGACAGTTACAGTCGGTTGGGTCGAATCACATTTTATTGCGATAACGGCTGAGTACGGAAAGTCGAACGCGCAGAGTCGAAAGCGCAGAACGAGCCCAATACGCAAGATTAATCACGCGAAGCTCAAAGCGGGAAGTTGGACGCGCAAGAATACGCACTGCGAGAAGCCCAAACCGTGGATAAATGTTACGGCGGTTAGGATCGCAAAGATGATCGCAAAGCCAAAAGTTGCATAAAGGTTATCACGGCCAGGCACGTAAAGGTCGTCGCAAAGCAGGTGGATTCGATCCAACACATTCCATCCGCACGCAGAATCCGGGAACGCAAAAGCCGACGCGAAAGGACGTAGCATCCGGAGCATCAAACGCGCATGGTCCAGCTGGGTGCCGGATGAAAAGCAGAGTCGAGGCCGCAACAGACGCCCACGCGGAGACGTGCACAAAAGAAAGTCGGACACGCGCAGCTAAGCGTGCATACTCGAAAACGGAACAAAGCTAAGCGCATAAAGCTCAAAACATGCAAAGTGCGCTTGCTGGCGCCCGTCATCTGCGGCCCCGCTTAGTCGAGTCGCACGCACGGGGGTGTGCGCACGTACGTACGCAGTCATCGCCCGCGCTGCCGCAGCATAATGCTGCCGCGCAGATGCATGATCCGTATGTAGATCAAGGAAGCGGCCGCAAACGAGCCAAGCTGTGCAGAGGCCTCCGGGGAATCGGGGGAGGAGAGGTGTCGAGCCGCGTAGAGGCGTGAAATGCCGTCAAGCCGTGAAATGCGCGATTCTGATTCGAGCAATATAACTGCGAGCAACGTCCATTAGCGGAGCAACGAGCCAAGCTGTGCAGAGGCCTCCGGGGAATCGGGGAAGGAGAGGTGTCGAGCCGCGTAGAGGCGTGAAACGCCGTCAAGCCGTGAAATGCGCGATTCCGATTCAAGCAATATAACTGCGAGCAACCCCCAGCGCGCGCGCGTCTCTTTTTTTGCGCGCTTTTATTTTTCTTTTTTTTCTTCATATGCTTCATATGCTTCATATGCACATATGCACATATGCGCATATGCACATATGCTGCATATGCACGTATGCTTCATATGCACATATGCACATATGCACATATGCACATATGCGCATATGCACATATGCACATATGTGTTGCAGCTTACGTGCATGCTTCGCTTTAAATGAATGGTGGCAATTATTTAGTCCTGTAACCCCGGTATGCGGATGTAGCGTCGCATGCGCTCTCATCCGAATACCGGGGTTACAGGCGTCAAAATTGGTATGCCACGCCAATTTTGACGACACGCTCGATCGGTATACAGCCGTCATGGCTGCTGGGTTCGACTCCCACACGAGCGCATCAACGCTGCTGTCGCCGCCTGTACCTTCGCAGTGTAGTGTACCTAATTCGTGCGTTCGCTGCAGCGTGTTTGGCGCGTCGCAGTTTGTACGTCGAGCTTTGTAATTCCGTCTGCTTGCCTTGACGCCCTACAGCTTGCACCTTCTTCATCTCTACAACTACACCTGACCCTTTGCGTCGATTTGCCTCTTACGGCGTGATGGCATAGCGATGTCGCGCTCCGTTTACATGCGCGTATCATGCCACTTGCCTCCTCCCATCCGCTTACTAGTCAGCCTTCGCTACGGCGACTCGCTCGACCGGGCCTGCTGGGTTCGACTCCCACGCGAGCGTACCAACAATACGCCATAGCGGACTTTCGTTATACTTTACATCTCCCGCGCTGAGTAGATGCTTCATGCTTCACCTGCTTCAGCACCGGCAGCCCAAACTGGAAAAAAAAGCGGCAAAAATGGTGCGGCTGGAATCGACGTGCGCTTCAACACATGCTTTCAACGGTCTTTCGACGCTCTGCATGCGGATCCACGCCAACGCACTTTGCGCACCGTCCGTGGAGATGCGTGTTGTGCATTGCAGCTTAACCCAGCGCCTTTCTTTCTGCACGTTCCACACTTTGCAAATCGCCTTGTGACTGCGTGTTCGAATGTGCACGTACTATGCTTTGCGGCTTTCGCTTTGCTCCGCCTTGAAGTTTGCACGGGTTTAAAATTGCGTGTTGGGCCCTGTATGTTAAGTTTTGTTGCGGCCCCGATTTTTTACGCGTAGCTTTACGTGTCGAGCTTTGCATACTTCTTCTTTGCAGCAGTAGCCTTTACGCGTTCCAATTTGCTCATGGAGCTTTCAAGTGCATCCTACTCCGCACGTCGAGTTTCGCGTCTTATTCTTTGCATTTAACTGTCAACCGATTGCAACTGCGCTTAATTTTGCGCGTTTAGGGTGTATTTCCAGTGCGGATTAAGGCCAGGGATTAAGGTCCCGCTATTCCCGGCTAATCCCCGGCTAATCCCTGGCAATTCTTAAGGCCTGGGATTAGCGCTGGGATTAAGGCCGTACAAAGGGCGATGCATACTTCCTATGTGATTCTGAAGCTAAAATTGTTAAGTTCTGGACTAGTTTGGGCATTAGGAATTGAATCAGTATTAGATATGAACAGGAAGCGCACTCTTCTCGCCGTTCATCTCTTCATCACCTTTTGAGCAACCCAAAACAGGAATTGCTTATTTGAGATCATATATATGGAACTACCTAGAAATTAACGTCAGACATGGCGCCGTGAATGCTAATCCAGATACGGAAAGTTACTACCTGGCTCGAGCCAGGTAATAACTTTTTTGTCACAGGTTGCCAGGTAAATACATGGGCATCAAGTTCAGTTTATGTTCTTTCCTAATCTCTTGCTAGCTCCCGCTAATCTTCTGATTAGAGAACACGGTGTCCTGAGGAATTTCTTAATCCCCGGCTAATCCTGCTTAATCCCGGTGGGATTTCCACTGCCGGGATTAGCGCAGGGATTAACGCTAATCCCTGGCCTTAATCCGCACTGGAAATACACCCTTAGTCTTCTTCTGCACCCGACTTCGCACGTTGGAATTTACGAGCTAATCTTTGCATACCCAGTTCATTCAACGCGCAATGCTCGTATGTTGTCTCGCTTTGCAGCTTCCGCATGGAAAATACCGCCGTACGTACTTCGGGCAGCGTCGCTTCCCTCGAGAGTGCACGTTTCTTTTAATGTGCCTTGTCGCTGGGCTCGTATCCTTTTGAGCTTTTTGCCCTCCTCTTCGCATTTTCGCTCCTATCACGTTCTCGCGATCTTTTCACGACTTCGCGCGTTTAACTTCGCAAGCTGAACTTTGCATATTCAAATTCTCTGCATCAAACTTTGTGCGCTGGACTTTGCGCGTGACATTTTCTGCACTACCACGTTCACAATAGAACGCAATTCAATTCACCTGCCAACCGATTGCAACTGTCCCCGGCCAAACTTTGCATACTAAAATCTGCATGCTAGCCTTTGTGACCTTCCTTCTGTTGCGACTTCAGGTTTGCACGTTCCACTGAGCGTGATCGACTTTCCTTTGTGCGCATCTCAAACTTTGCACGTCGACATGTGACTGCGTTTTCATCGTTGTGCACCGTGCGGAAATTTATGTACCATGCGTTGCGACCTCTACTTTGTTCCGCCTTTAAGTTTGCACAGATTGCAATTTGCGTGCTGGGCCTTATGTGTTGAGTTGCG